CTTCTTATTAAGTCTAATTATAAATTTATGAATCTATATGTTATAACAAGAGCGAAAGTGAAAAGTAACAAAAAAGATAAAGAGTATATTTATAAATAGAAGACCTAATCATTTAGGTTGTTCAAGTTTGAATCTTTTCAAAATCAAAGTTGGATTAATTCAAATTCAAGTTATTGATTTTTTTTATCAAATTGGATTAAGCCAAATTGAAATGAATTTTTTAAATTCAAAATAGTTTTAACAACTTTAGATGAATGTTTAACTATAATTTATGAGTTTGATAAACTTCATCATGGGTTTATGTAGGCAAAATAGATCCCTGAATCTATACAATTGCATAGAGATATTGCTTTCTAGTTTAAACCTATTCCTATGCATTTAGCTTATACTTTTTGCTATTGCAGATTGATGCATTTTGTACATTTTAAGTCTCTAATCCTTATAATAAGTAGTTAGGGTCTTTAATCTCTATTTAATAAGTAGTTAGGGCACTTAATCCAATTGTTCAGAGTAAAAAAGTGATATTTGAGTCTAAGAAGGCATTTGTGTCATGGGCCTTGGACTTATGCCAAAATTTCGTGCGACCTTAGATCGGAAATCTATTTTTTGTATGCCTAAAAAGCCTAAATCACTCTAGAAGAGTTGACACTCAAAATAATAATTGAAAGGAATTCAAAAATAAGAAAGACTAAAAGATAAGATAAGTGCAAGAAATGCTATAATTTGTTTTGTTAAAGAGTTTCTACACACTGAATGAGGATAAAAAGACACTCTATTTATAGTTGAAACCCCACGAATCAATGGCGAAGATTGAATCGATCCAATGGCTATTAAAAAGTCTAAATTTACAAGAGATTACACGAGATTACATTGGAAAGTCCAAATATTACAATTAACTATACCATAGCTTAGTCAATCTTCCATATCCTTCTAGAAGGTTGTTTTATCATTTAACCTTACCGGAGCCTAATGCACCTATACTTAGGCCTAGGTGTAGGGGCTCTTTTAAAAGTGAGTTCCTTAGTTTTTAGGGCTAGTACGAGTGGCTTTTGTGCTTGTTGTGAACCCGAGACCTGAACCCCCTTGATTGATTATGTTGATCATGCTCGAAAACACCCGCATGGGCTGTGACATTTTCCCCACCTAATCTAATAACGCCCTTTTCGTGTCCTATAAGTGGAACTAATTGATATGATCCTCAAACTACCAAAGATCCTCTGCTAGTTCCCAACTAGCTTCACTGACAGGAAATCCCTTCCACTGCATAAAGTACTCATATCTTGGTTTGTAATTTCACCACCTTGAAACCCTATCAACTAGTATAACATTGACCTCTTTGTCATATGAAGCATTCTTTCTTATTGGTACACGATTGCATGCCATGACTCTACCTTTTAAATCTTTCTAATCCTTATGAAATGGTTTGAGCATGCTAACTTAGAAAATTAGTTATACCTTAAGCTTTAGTGACATTTCCACCTTGTAGGCTGTGCTGCTTATTCATTTCAGAACTTTGAAAAGTCTTTTATACCTCCAGACTATGCCCTTATGCAAGCCCTATAGTGTAACACCAAGTGCAGCTTCAGCATTATCAAGTCTCTAACTTGAAACTACACAACCGTCTCTTTCGAATAGTCCACTTTTTGCTTTTCTTTGGTACTTTATGTAGGCAGATTCAAGCAAAGTTTACTTGTTCCTACCAAACCTTAGCAAACTTGTATGCTACTGGATTGGGTCATGTGTAGCCCATTCCACACTCTTTTGAGAGCGATTAGGCTATTTTCTAAGGCTTATGCTGTGGCACTTTATTGCTACCTTTTTCTTATCATAAACTTTTTGAAAGGCTTTCACCTTTTAACAGAATTGAATAATACCTAGCTGCATCACTTTGGGCTTCTTTTGTTGTTATTCATCCCTACTACTCTTGCTTTTTAATATCTTCTTGCCCATTCAATGGCTGAAAGCTTTTTTTGCTTCAAGCATTCTCTAATTTGATATGGACCAGTACATAAAAAGTAACTCTAGGGCTTTTTCTCTTTACTTATGTCTATGATGGCTTAATAGGTCTTGACCTTGTAAAATCTAGGTTTTTTTATTATGGAGACCCATACTCAATTTGTGAGATATTGTCAATTTTAACCTGAAGGTCTCATAATTTTTTTCATAAAAGGTACCTCACAAATTTGGGTTTAAACCCCAACTTATATATCATAACAGATTCTCAAAATCCCTTTGTAGGTTAGGGTATCACAAACTCTCCCCGTTAAAGCTTGATGTTCTCATCAAGCCCAACACAAAGCATAGATAAAATTACAGAACCAAAATCACACCAGACATTAAGATTCTAGCAGTGGCTCTCAATAAGTAGCACCTAGCTTTGTAGAATTCTAGAAATGGCTCCCACGATGTAACACTTAGCTTTTATTCGACTACTAACTGCTCTGATACCATTTATGGGGACCCACACCTAACCTATAAGATATTATTAGCTTTGACCTAAAGATTTCATGATTTTGTCTTATAAAATGTGCCTCACAAGTTTAGATTTAAGCCTCTACTTATATATCATGGTAGAACCTCATAATCTCCCGATGTAGGATTGGGTTGTTATATCCACATCTTTTTTCTTGGATGAAAAACTACTACTTGTCTCTCCATCGCTCTTACTCTTACTTCTAGGCTTTAGAGACTTGCTACATTCGAATTCAATCATCATTTTTACAGCAACAATGGCTTGACTCAACTTTTACACGCCTCTGTTGTAGCTTGGACTTTACCTATAGCTTCAGACCATCCATGAAATAAATAGAGCTTGCTTTTGGCTCACACTTAGGACTATTAGCAATAATTTTAAGCACTCCCAATAATGGTCTCGAACTTTTCTAATTTGAATAAGCTTACAAAACTTCCCTTGAGCTTCATCTTTTGTATACTTTAGCTTGAACTATTATCTAAGTTCTTTCACAAACTCGTCCTATTTGGTGATTGCCTATTCACCATGCCTAACATTGTCATACCTATAATGTCACCATAATAAAGCATTATTGCTTAAATACATAATAGCTATGCTTACCATTATTTTTTATTTTTGCCACTAGAAAGTACTGTTCCATACCCCACACAACATTGTCCACATCTTTGGCTAAGCGACTTCTTACAACTTAGGCACATTTACCTTGGGCCCTAAACTCGCTCTAGCAATCATAACAACTCGTCAATGTAGAATGATCAATTTTGAGCCTCTGTAGCTCTTCCACTAAGGTTGTCACCATGGTCTCTAACACCTCATTATGTTATGTGAGCACATCCATTGCCTTGTTCACGACACTTTGCATCCCTTCCTTGAGCTCTTCCCTCATTGAATATAGTTTTATGACGTACCATTAGTGTCCTCAAACCTATCTTGCATATTTGCAATGACCACCTCACACTTCTACAGTCAACTGTCCATGGTCTCTAACACTTCATTATGTTATGTAAACACATCTATTGCCTTATTCACGACATTTTGCATCACTTCCTTGAAAGGATTATTATGAGAATTTTAAGTGAAGAAATATTTTTTGAAATTTCACTTAAGTATTGGGAAATTTAGAAAAAATTTTCAAAACTAAAAATTTTCATTTTATTCTTAAGAAAAAAATGTTCTTAAAGGGTTTCTACAAGAAAATGAAATTAAAGGAATTATTTTTAAAATTAAAATTAAGATCATTTTTATCAATATTAAAGGATAACTTGTGGTTATTTAACAACGTTCTAAATCGAACGTTGTAAGAGTGCTAACTCTTCCCAACGCGTAATCGAACTTTCGAACCAATATTTATTTTCAGAAATCAAAATTATCTTTTTGATAAATCTTAACTAATTTAAATATTTTATTAAAAAGATAAATTTTTAAATGATAAATCACACCTATTAAAAAAATTGACAATAACTCATTTTTATTTTAAAATTTCATCTAAACAATCGAATTTTCAAACCCACTGACATCAGGTTCAATAGTTTCGAGACATGCATAGACACAGGCACATGCACGAGCTTTGGCACGGGCAAAGGTGCTGATCCAAGCGCAAGTCCTGGGAAAGGCCCAAAAGCGAGCACTATTGAAGACAAACTTGGAACTTTCCGGTATAAAGTTCCACCTGCTTTAAACTCTCAAGTAATGAAGTCCTTGTAAATTTGAACCCCTAATCTTTAATATAATTTTGGACTCTATATAAGCCTTTAGATAGGACCAATTTCAATAATTGATATAAAGAGGCCTTGACTATAAATAGAAGGTTCTCACCTTCATTGCATGCACATCATAACTTGATTAGTATAATTTTACTCGTTTTATATTCTTCTCTTTCTCTCTAGCCTTTCCTCAAACCCCTATGTTTGTTAAGCAACAGCTTGGGTGATTAATCTTGAAATATTGAGTGTCTGAGCACTAGTTTGAGTAATAAACTGATCTTGCACACTAAATAAATCCATTCCCGGATCTAGAAGCCGCACAAACCTAGAGCTGACGACTTGGCCGTGACACTTGCATTCTGCCGTTGCATATATTCTTGTTCAAGCATATTTTGTGGTTTTTACTTCTAGTCTACTTGTGACTAAAATATTTTTACCCGTTGTGCAATGTGCAGAAGAAGCCAAGCAGAAATAAAGGATGAACTGAAGATGGGTTAATACTTGTTTTTCGGATTTGCCAGGTGGCAGATGAGGTATCAAAATGTAGGCAAATAGGATCTTAGGCTGCTTCCGGTTCTCGCCATTATTAATTTTCTAGCTGATCATCCATGGATAAATACAAATGTTTGAAACTTGGCTTAATTTGTTCCAGCAATGAAAATCCATTCTCATGCATATATTGTATGGTATTCTTTATTGATTGGTTAATTGATGGCTAGTGATTGCTTTTTTCTCAACTATATATGGTTCTGATGCAGATTCAATGTTGCCTACCTTTTCAGAGGGAATTTGATTAATAAATTGCTATGTTAAACTGAGAGTCAGATGAGAAAAAGCAAGAATCTTAAACGAATTTGACATTTTATAGGGAACCAAATTCTGTATTAACATGTATATTTTGTTACTAATATTTGAATAATAATCCTAATAATTTTGTTTGAGATTTCTGGGGAAAACCTGCACAAATTACGCCCTACACATAAAGACTTCTCAAAAGTTGAGATCAAGAAATACATAAATTGCAAATTATACACCTGCAGTTTTGTTGATGTTTTCCAAGGATATAACAGCACCCGATCTTCCCTCGTCTGATGGTCGGGAATGTGACATTAGAATATATATGACCCAAAAGTGAAGGCATACCAGGTAGACCAGGGACCATAGTTTTGCTGTTGCATTTCTTCTTAAGAATATTGCACCAGCCACAAAAATAGCATCCAACTGCCTAAGCATTGATCCAAGTTGCTGTTTGCCAGAACGAAATTTGTCCTCAAAGAGAGGCTTAAGCTTTGAATCAGAAAGATTCCATATTCCTGATTCCAAATCACTTGACGGCGCATTACTCATATTCATGAACTTGCTTTCATCCAGCATCCTTGAAACTGCCTAAAGAAGTTCACAAGTGCAAATTACAAATCTGTTGTTTAGTTCTGAAAAATTGTACTGTTAATCATTCATAAACTATGTACCTCAATTCTAAACGACAAAGTTGCCTTCTCTGAGGAGAGCGCCTCAACCTGCAGGAAACAACAGTGGACAAATGAGTCTCTACAAGAAACATTGCTATTTGATCCAGTGAGGAGCAAAACACATTAAGTAACCCTTCAATATGAATTTGTTTATTCATGTGTGCGTACACACACATGCATTTTCAACATTTGACATTGGTGTTTCCCAATTGAATTATTGCAGAAAGATGCTTGTGGGTTAATTATTCCACAATTTGGGCAATTGATCAATTGATATTTGGAGTCAAAATTGTTTCTCTGCTACTGTTTCAACACAGTAGGTCATCCTGCATGCTATATAAAGTTAAAAAAGGTTAAAGTGGAGACCTAAAGTACAGCCAAATAAAATAGCAGTTCACATCTCCAACCTTAAAGCTGAAAACATTATATATATACATATATATATATATATATATATATATATAGATATCACTTAAAAGATTGCTGAGGTTCACTCTTAACCTTGCACTTTGAGCACTAATCACTTACTAGAAAATAAAAACAAGGATGTTATATCGATTAACCAGAATCATTCACATGTGCAACGTTGAAATACAGACCTGGGCTTGTTTCTGAATTAAATGATCAGTCAGCTGTCCAAGCCTTCGCTTCAGCTCAACTTCTACTTCTGTTGGGTTCTCCACCTCTTTTCTTGTTGATTCAATGCTTGCTTCCAGTTGTCTTGCCTGTGTGTAACAAGCAAATCAAATACATAAAACCTAAAACAGCTTTATACTAATAATAAGGCTAAAAAATTAAAAAAAGGTCCGTGTCCTTTCTCAATTTCTCAGATAAGCCCTATTTTTCTATTGTACCAAAATGAGACCTTAAAGTAAAACTTTTGTTTAATAGAACTGTTATTTGGATGGAAACCAATAAAAATCTTTTATCGTTGCCACATTGGCATCTATGAGGTCTCTCTATCACGTCAGCATGTACAAAGGTAACTTATGTTGCTAAATAAGGAATAAATGTCAACTTAGCATTAACTTTCATATGTTGCCATCTAGATGCAGATGTAGCAAAAGAAAATGACCACACAGAGAGTTGACATGGCAAAACTAACATACTTCAACAGTCTTATCCAAAATAAGGGCCTAATCAGACATGATAATGCTTTAAGGACTTAATTGGCTACAATGGAAGTATAGGAGCTTTTCTGGGACATTAGGGACCGCAATGAGGCATTTTAAATATTTTAGCCAATACATAAAAGGACCAAGTGAGTTTGGTGCTAAGAGTCGAGTGAGACTAACTGAATTTGCGAATTTATATAAACACCACAAATAAAATTAAAAAATATAAGAAACAAGGATATACATGTACATTTGGACACTTTTTTTTTTTTCAAGTTGATGTTCTCTCTGCCTCTTGCGTTTGAGTTCTAACCCACCTATGCTTCCCTTCTTTTTTTTTCTCTTTTTTCTTAGGGAAATCACTTTTATAACATTATCAACAACTGGTAAAAAGTCAATAGGGATTTTTTTGTATAAATAACCTAAATAATAGTTGCATACCTTCCCACGTGTCTCAAGTTCCAAAAACTGTTACCACTTCCTTTCTCCTACGGAGACAAAATGAATTTCCCTGTCCATCTCTTTTTCTACATTGAATGCTTGCTACTTTCTTTTATGGATGCCAATTAATTAAATACCTACTAAAGAATGTTTACATGTTCTTCATCAGACCTCTTTTACCAACTTCTATATTTTCTCCATCTTGAATATTTACTTTTCATTTCAATACTTTAAAGTGAAAAAGAGATGCACACTCTAGCACCTTCTACATTTTCTCTAAATACTTTTCCTCTCAATGCAAAACAACATTCTTTCTAGTATTTTCAAGTTTTAACTCTTCCTTTTAGAATCTCTACAGGTCAATTATTTACTGCTCTAACATCATTCCTTACTTTTGTCTTGCATTCCTATAACTTTTTTCCTACTGTTGTCCGAAATAAGTTTTAATGCTTTGCATCTAATTTATACATCAGTGTCAAGTATCATCTTTTAGTTTTTAGGAGTTTCACCATATGGATATGCAATGCTTAATTTTCCCACATTTTCTTTTGCAGGCTTTCCTTGTTTTTCAATTAATTAATTATTAGTCTTTAGTGACAAAAAAAAAAAGTACTGCATGTTCTGAGTTGGGGTTCACAAGTTTAGTGACATCAATGTAGTTACTAAAACTAGAATTAACACCCACTACGTGGGTTTAAGAGGGAAAAGTGGAAAGGCTATATGATTTTAAAGTAAAAAAGGTAATTTGTCCCTTTCAAAGTGTCTAAATTAAAAAAAAAAAAAAAAAACTATCTTATGAGAAAACCACTTTAAAAATGGGCCTCATTCCTAATATATTTAGGAACAAAAATGACTAATATGACCTTATTTCTATATGTTTGTTAGATTTTTATATAATTATAGTAACTAAGTTGGTGCCTTGTGACACCGTACTCAAATATACAGTAATACTTTTCTTAGTAATCAAAGGAACAGCACAACAATAATTAATTTATTAAAATACCACAGTAGGCCCATAAAGAAAATTTCCTTTGGTAAATTATGCATTGCATTTCCATGTGCTGTACAACTCCTATACAAAAAGGTGGCATCCCAATACTATTGTATAACTTAGATTTGCATCAAAATTTATTTTTGAGTTGAAGAAAAATGTAAAGCAATGCAAATTACATAACCAAATTTTTTGGGAAAAAAGAAATGTTGACTGACCTTAATGGTGATGTCAACAGTTAAAAGGTGTGCAGGTAATTATATATGGTGACTCTATAGGTAGAAAATACAAGAAAACATTTAACTATCATATTTCATTTAAAAAATCATTTTACATAAAAGCAGAAAAATAATGTTAAGGATATATAAAAAAAAAAGTAACTCATGATATCAGACAGAAGATCTAATATATTGTTTTTAATGAGGATTTTTTTATTACAAAGAAGATAGAAGTACAGATTGATAGTTTAAAAAGTGATAAAGATGACCTCTAGTAGATATTCTAAAGGAACGAGTTGAAAATACAAAAAGGAATGTTGTTTTAATGTACGAGTAATCAAACTACCTGTGATGCTTATGGTCTAAAAAAAACTACTAGAGTTTCCATCATTCTGAAAACCCAATGACACATTTATTCTTTATGAACTAATGAAACATAATTAAATGCAAAAGACATTTTCAAGGTACTATAACTGTGTAGCCCATATGTAAAACTGCTTTTAGTTGTAACTATTTCTCACATGTGCAAGAGAAGGGAATGAATTTGCAAATTAAGTAGATGATTACCAGAAGAGATTAATGTCCTTTTAACTGATTTTTTTCTCCTTCCCCTAGTGTGAAGACTTCATCGGAAAGTGGCCTCCAATTAGTGGTGCTTTTTGTTGACCTTTGGCCATACACAAATAAAATTCTCCTTAACATATTTTTTACTTTAAAATTCTGAAATGAGAAGTAAAATTCAAGATGGAGAAAATGTAGAAGCTGGTGCAATAAAAAGAAATTTTGATGAAGATAGCATGTGAACATACCTTTAGTGAGTATTAATTAATTGGTATCCATAAAAGAAAGACATAAACTTTTAATGTTGAAAAGGAGATGGAGGGAGAAAGATTTGTTTTGAATCCAAGAAAAGGAACTGGTAGCAGCCGTTGTGACTTGGGATACATGGGAAGGTATGTGGGTATCATTTAGGTTGGGTGTTAAAAAAAATCTCTACTGACTTGTTACAGGTTGTCAAAAGGTAATTTCCCCAAGAGTGAGAAGAAATTAAAAAGTATAGGATCAGATGTGTAAGGTACAGAGAATATCAACTAATTTCTTTAAGACATTTGTCAAAATTGACATATTATATATATCCCTTGTTTATTGTACTTACTATTTTTCAGCTGTTAATGTAAATTCACAAACTAAGTTGGAATCACTTGACTCATGAACCAAACTTCAGTTCCTTTATATACAAGTACAGATTACATAAAAACTCTAGCAAAACATAAGTAACAGATAAAAATAAGAGTCATATTAGTCATTTCTCTTACTAAATATCATGATTAAGGCCCACTTTTACATTGATTTTCTGTATTAAACTGTTTTTTACAGGCTCTTAAAAGGAAAACAACTACCTTTTATTTTGAAAAATATTACATTTGCACTTTCTCCTCTTTCAACCATGTAGTGGGTGTGTCACAAATTCTAGTATTAAGTAAATCAGTCTAAATATTAAACGTAGATATTCAAAGTATAAGATGAAACTTGTTGTTAGTTGGTAGTCAAGTCTTGGAGGACATATGACCCAATCTGAACTTTAAGAATTTCAATACTGCAGCTAAACAGAGAAGGAAAAGGACAATTAATGTTTCATGGACATGCATGGTGCTACTTGTAGAGACCTTTTCTTATTTGAAATGTTTTATAACAAGTGCATGAATGAACACCATCAAGCTGAGGGATTTGGATCTCTATATCCATTTTACTCTGCCCTTTTTAGCGGAAAAAAGAAACATGCAGCTATCCATGAATAAGTGGTGAAATAGAATATTATATAAGTTGTTAGATCATTGCAAACTTATAAAACTAAATGTGAGTGTCTAGAGAGGAAGAAAGTGAGAGAGGAAAGCTAACCTTGTCTTGCAATTGTCCAATTTTATCAGTGACAAGAGAGTACTCTGCCTCAAGGATTTCACGTCCAAATTCAATTCCCTTTGATAACTGCAACATTTTAAAATGACAAGATTATCCAAACAACCCGTTGGAGCAAAGTACTTTTGCTGAAAATGCCAGATTAGAGCAGTATCTCTAGTCAGTATTTATAGACAAATATGATCTGAGAAACTACTTAACTCACTTGGTTTAGATAAGTTCCACTTTGGTGACTACTGGAGATCCTCCTCTTGAGTTCTACAAGGTGAAAAAGAAGTATCCGTAACTTGTAAAACCAGATAGAAATAAGGCAGGGTTATTTCAGGGTAGTATTAATCAAGAAATTGCATGACCTTCCCTACACCATGCAAAGCAAGAGTCTCGTGCACCACACAACCCCTTTAATTATTATAAAGACATTATATTTTCCTCAATGATTATATGATACGCATGGCAAGCAACATCATTACAGTCAATATGAAATCTAAAATGCGTTTGAAACATTTCCATGGTTTCAACTTATTGAAAAACTTTACTATAGAACACCAAAAAAATTAGAAAATATAATTAAAATTAGGTAACGAAAAAAAAAGTATTTTGCGGTGAGGTCTAAAAAAATTTGCACCCTAATGTTTAAAAACTAATAGTTAATTTAAAGATTTTTATGCAAGCAAATTAGATTATAGAGAGATAAACTCAAAAAAGGATGAAAAGTGAAAACAGATGAGAAGAAAGAAGGGAAGGGTTGGGTGGGTATCAATCAATTCTAGGCTCTTAAGTTATGTGTAGCAAGAGTGAAGAAAAAGATTGATTGCAAGGGAGCAATTAAATCATAGACTTTAGCATTCTGAGATAGAAACAAGAAGAAAGAGCAGAACAAGGTACTGGAAAAAAGATCAGCCAAGTGACAAGAAATAGGAGGAACAAGCTAGCTGTCTTAGATTAGTAAGTTAATCGAGTAAATCATAGTTAAATATCTCTTTGCAAACCTCTAGGGGTAATTCGTTCCACCTCAAGCCACAAGGTGCTTATTTGTAAATTACACAAAATTGTTTTAAGAAAAAACACAAAAAAGATTATGCGGGAAAGAAATAGGATCCCAACTTACGATCCGTAAGACAGAAAAAAAGCCCCTTGACGGGCGCCCGCCCATAAGAAAAAGAACACCCTCAAAAGTCAAAATTAAATCTAATTTGCCTCCCCATGTTCTTTTTTTCTTTTTGAAGATTTTCCCTTGCAGATCCCTTTTGCATCTGCCTTATGTAATTAATTTTAATTTAATGTGTTAGCAATTGGCTCTTTGGGAAGAACTTAAGAGTAAAAATAGCTTAGTCTTAAATCAAGAACCCCTAAAACCTAATGTTTCATGTCTGTATGAACTTCCATTGATTTAATTTCATAATGTTTAACAACCTATTAGCTTTAAAAAAAATACCTTTTCAATGAGCCACTTCCCATCAACCATAAGAGGATAGGTAGCCAAAGTCCTAGCACAACTCTAGCAATAAATATTTATTCTTTTTTGTTTTTCTTTCCTGCATAAACTCATTTAAGACAAGTGGTTTTATATTTTTTTTCTTCTCTTTCCTGTTTATTGGGGTTGGGGTTGGTAGGGTTCATCGGTTCTTCCACACTCTTTCAAGAAATTATAATCAGATCAAAATAATAGATACATACCTTCATGGGCTGCTTCTTCCAGCTTAATTTGTTGTCGGAGATCTGCTACCCTATTAATCTGGTTCAAAAAGCTAAAATGTAATGAGCAACATATATAAGGTTAAGGGAGGATGAGGCCAGAAAAGCTTTCATTGTGATGTTAGTTACATTTAGAATATATCTATCCATTCCGAGTCATCAATAAGTAAATTGGTCAGAGAATTGTGTAAGACTTAAGAGCCAAGACAATGGGAGATGCTACTGAATCCATTACTCTAGAAATAAGCCTGATACATTTCATATTGGCATACATCACAAATTGGAAAATACAAAGCAAAAGTGTTGGTTTTTTTTTTTTTTATTTCTTGGCTATGTGCTTTCTATCCTTTTATCTTTTCTGTTATAAGCTCAAAAACAAGCATGGTTCAGAAAGAAAAACAAAAGGATGAAAAGCCAGATTTTAGAACCCAGACTAATGATACATTGTACAACGAGCAAAGAAATTTTCTTCCAAATTTAAAACTGCAATAAAGAAGAAAGGGGATAGGTCCAACCAGAACTAATATTAGAGTTTATCATACCTCTACTTCAAGTTTCTTCTGTGAAATAGCAAGTGATCTTGCAAGATCAGCATTTGTCGTCTGCAATTACTAGTGATATTTAGAAACAAGAACTCCCTGCCAAATGCAATAGACAAACAAAAATATGGAGAAAACTGTCTAACAAAATATGAAGTAGATATCTAAACCAATTGTTGCAGCACCTCTAGCTTAGCCAAACGTTGGAGGGCCTCCATTCTAGTATTATTATGTTTCTGCTTTTCTAACTCAACAGCTTCCATCATTTCCATTGTAGTTGTCTGCAGCTCTGAAGCCTGATACAAGTAAGAAGATAACAATCCATTAATGCTACAGTTGAAAGACAACTTCAGCTGCAGAACAAGGGAGGGGAAAAGAAAGAGGAACAGAGGATAGAGGGAAATAAGGAAGAAAGTGGGAGAAACAGAGGAACTTTTGGTAGACTACAAAAAATAGGGATGAAAATCAAGTAATAAGACAAAAAGTAAAAGTAGGGATAGAATCCAATACTCAATCTCAATATTCTTAAACCAAACATACTAGAAACAAAGTGAATAGATACTTATAGACGACTCTCTAAACCATAACATAAATACAAAATACCAAATATAACCTTACATGCTCTAACTCTAATAATTCCTTAAATAGTAAAAATCATAATAAAGCAAATCTCTAAAGATAGTTAAATCCGTGGATAAGCAAGATCTTGTCCCACTTCAACTTAATAGACATTCAGAACAATTGCAAGCATAAATTTAAGAGAGAAAACTAAAGGAACACCCAATTAGATGCAGCTTAGGTGTAGCGGCTAATCTTTAATGAAAGAAAGAGGAAAAGAAGAATGTAAAAATGGCTATGATCTCATTCAAATTCAAAGCAAATATTGATGCATTAGTGCAAACATTGTTCCAGGCTTTTCCATTCTTTGCTATATTGCAGTATTTATTTATGCCAAGTTGAGGCTCTAGCTTAATAATCAAAGTAAAAGAGGTAGATTCAGATCTTTGAGGCATAACACTTAAATTTTTAGTGCCCTAAGTAATGACCAGGTTCTATAAAGAAGAAAAAAAAGAGGGTTAAAGAGACTGGGGACAGTAACCTCTAAAGAAGTCATGTGTTCTATTCTTAACAATATACAGAATTTGTTTAGTTGCAAATCCTGCGGCCTTAATGTTGTTAGTTTCCAATTGTATGGCACTACCTTCAGCCCCTAAACACCCAACCCTCCACTAAAAAACAAAATATAATGAATTATGTTTTTCCTGTGATCAGCAAATTTCTGGTAAAGTATTTCAAAGCGTATAATCTTGAAATTTGATAGAAAAAAAATCCCCATGGTCAGAACAAAATATTTTCCTAGTCAACCTCAACAAAGAATGAAATAAAGAATGCATGCATGCATGTAATATTGTAAAAAGCCTTGTAATGTTACCTCTTGTGCTTGTTGTTTGGCTCGTTCCTCAAGTATTTTCTCTAAGCTCTGCTTTTCTCCCTCCAATCTGGCAACCATATTCTCTCGTTCTTTGATAGCTTCCACAGCTTTAGCGGCTGCTCGCTCAGCCAAAATCCTCTCCTTCCTCCTCCTCCTTTCCTCCCTCTCATGTTCACTTTCAGAGTCAGACGTTGAATCAGAACCAGAATCTGAATCAGAGCTTCCATCACTTGTGGGCTGAGAGCCCCTTTTTACATCATCCGAGACTGGACTTCTGGATGAACCAATGGACTTGGATTTCCCACTTACAGTAGTTCTCAATTGATCATGACCATCAGCCATTCCTATCTTCACTTCAGGTACCCCATCAACTTCTCCCAATTCCAACATCTTTTGGAAAGAATGGTTCTTGTTTATGGCCCGCGAAAACCCTTCCACATCGGAAGAAAGGCCTTTAGAATCCAATTTCCAACCATTTTCATCATCTGTTTCATCTTTCAGTTTCAGCATAAAGCTTGTAGCAGTGTCCTTGTGATCCAACTCCAACCCCTCCGAATTCTTACCATCATTATGTATATCAACACTAGAAGGCCTACCAGAAGAGCTTGATTCTTCACCATCACTCGGCTTCCCATTCGACTTATTTCCCAAAACAATATCTGATCTCCTCACAGACTTAATAACATTAACATTACTCTTTTGATTCCTCTTCCCTTCCAGCAGTGACAAATTAGATCCCACATTTCCTCTCCTCCTAGCATCTTTCCTCAAGCCCCGAATCCCAGACACCCCATTACTAGAGCTCGTCCCCTGACTAGGTGTACTAAGAAGTTCAGTCCAATCACTATCTGTAAGTGTGGGCTTAGGTTTGGATGAATCTTTCGTGCTCGAAACCTCTTTGTCTGGATTCGAAATATTAACTGAATTATTACTATTATTATTACTAGATAAGTTAGCATTGGGATCATTGAACAATTTGCCATGATAATCATTATGTTCTTGTGATTTCTTTTTTAATTGATCCTTTAAAGATACAACCCCACTGGTTTTCGTTGGAGTATCCAATGTAATCTCATCGGATAGTGGCTTCTCATTCTTCCCAAGCGACTCCGCCGCTTGCTGATCGATCTGATCCGTCCATCACAAAATTCAGTTACAACTACCCTAAATCAAACTAATATTGTTTAATAAAAATGAAAATAAAATGAAATGAAACCAGATGGATAAATTCACAGTGCTCATTAGATCTCCCTAGAGAATAGCATGAAACTTAAAAAAATAATAATAATAAGAGACTAATTATAAAGAAGAAAAAACTTGCCTGTTGAAGGAGAGTTTCAGCGACTTTGAGCTTGGACGAGATCCAATTTGCCATTAGAACCTTGTTCCTTTTTTTGTTTATTTCTATTTTTTTATCAGCACATTCTTGTGGTTTTGGCGAAAAATTTTGAGTTGGAAGAGAAGGCGAAGGACGAAGGAATAGATTTGGAGGGGACTAAGATAGGTTGGTGAAAGCGTGGGTTATTGCAGACGCAGGGAGACGAAATATTGCTGTTCCCGTAGCGTTTGGGCGATCAAAGGCGTATGGAATGGTTAGTGGGGTGTCTGTCATGGTGAATGTCACAGACTGGTGTGAGTTTATTGAAACATCAGCTGCACGTGAAACGTCCACGCCAATGACTGATCACACGTGCGCGATTGTGACCGTCCAACAGCAACAGCCGGACCGGTCATCTAAAAGAGGAATCGTTATCGCTTGCCACCAAAAACATTTTAGGTTAAAATGGCAAAAGAAAATCCTTAAATTATTTATTCAAAATAGATTTATATATTTTTATTGTACTTAAATAAGTTATTATTTTATTTATATTTAAGTAAATTTTTATTTTAAATAAAAAATTAATTTATATTAAAATTTTATATAGATACAATTTAAAAATTAAGAATCTATTTAAATACAAATTAAAAATTAAAAACTTATTTAATATAAATTAAAATTAAATATTTATTTAAATGTAATAAAAATAATTTTAATTAAATTGATAAATTTTGAAAACTTTTTAATTATGTCAGACAAAACTTTACATTTACAAAATTATTATTATAATTATTAAAAAAAACTTAAAAATATTTATCATTATTTCGTTTCTTACCAAGATTTATCTTTATTATTGGAGTCAGTGAATATTAAAAAATTATTAATGAACTATGAAATATTAAATAATTAATATCAATAATATTTATATATAGATAAAAAATGATCTTTGTAAAGGAGAAAATCAACTTATATCAATGTAAATTTTTTTAATTTTGTATATATTTTTAACAATTTATTTCTACATATCTCAAAAATAAGATTAAATCATTTTTTATTTTTTTTAATTTGTGTCTCTCATCTTTTAAATTTATTAAAATTAATTATTAAAAATTATAAAATTAAAAAATTTTACAATAATATAAATTAATTTTGTAGCTCGCTATAAAAATATATATAATTGCACAAAATACAAATAAAATATATCATGTTGGACATATTTTGCATGTTATGATTTTTACATTATATTATAAAAAAAAACTTATACATTTATAAAACATTACATTAACTAAATGATTTGCAAAAAATCTAAACCTACATATCTAATCAATATGAGTCATATTTGATGCATAAATTATTGATAAGATATGATGATAATTATCTTATATCATGTTTAATTTGTATCTAAGAAAATGATAGGGATCGCAATGAGGATTAATATCTTATTGATGTAAGATTATTCAATCATCTCCAAGTAGAGAGAATTATTTTTAATCTATAGAATTAAACTTACATGTTCAATTGTACCTTTTAAAATTACATAAATAATTTAAATTGTATAAATTTTAATAAAGATAATTTTGATAAATAAATAAATTATTATATCATAATACTTGCATACATCAAACATAAAATATGATGATATTATTTAATCTAATTTTAGTCATAATATTATATTATCTTATTCTATTATAATCTTATAAATCAAACATAACTATAATTTTTTAAATAGGAAAAACCTATGCCAGATTTCCTTCTTATAAAACTCAGAACAACAATTACCAAAATCCAAAAAGAAAAAATTCTATTCAAATATCTACTTTCTTTCCTCAATATTGAATTATTTTTAATCATAAATTTATATCTTAATATGATTTTTAATTTTAATATTATTTAAATAGTATTTTTATGTTGTTAATTATATTCCATTTTTAATTTTTTTAATTTATGCTAATTATGCTTTTCTTTTTATTTTCTATTTTTCTTAAATCTTTTTTATTGATTATTTTTCCATTATTTCTTAAATCCTAAGAAATGCAAATTGATTGAAAACTTGTTAATTTTTATTAAATAATTCAAATTCATGATTCCTTGCTAGAAGTTATTTAAAAACAAAAAATTGATCAATGATTCCGTCAATAATGTAATCTATCTATAAACTAAAATTTCGTCAACAATAACTAAATTCCTTCAGTAAAATCCATTGTCATAATTTTAATTTCATCTATAATTTGAATAATTTCATCTATAATCATTTGATAAACCTATAAACATGTGCGCTTAATTAAAAAAAAAACTTATTATTTTTATTATTAATAATAAAAATAAAAAATCCATATATGAAATCAACATTATAACCATTAAATGAATCCAAATTATAAATTAACATTCTTAACATCTATAATATCCACAAAATATAATATTAAAAGTCAATTCATAACATCGATAAAAATATCCATAAAGATAAGAGCTCACTGTCTTGCTGCATCTCCTAATCCAAAATCAGTGTTGCCATTGTCAGGTCTAAAAAATTGTGTTGGCAAAAATTGTTTAAATCTTATAACTACATCATCTAATCCATAAAAAGACCTAAGTTCAATCTTCAACTTAGTCCTTAACTTGGTCCTTAACTCATTAATTTGTTTTTGTATCTGAAGTTAAGGAGGCACTAATGATGGACCACAAACAAAGTGAGACGTTGTTGCTGCAACAATGGACTAATTTAAGTAAAAAAGGTCTTTAAATCTATCCGCAGATCCAAAGCTATATACATGAGTACGTGTAGCTTCAACCCTTCAAATAGCTTTAATCTATGCCTATGGATCAAAATTTAGATGATTGGAAGAGTCTTCACCATATTTTTGAGATAATGCAGTAACATAATTTTCTTACAAAAAATTTAAAACAATTATCATTCCAACACAAGTACAGTATCATTCCAACACAGTTCAATACCATTAGTCTTACAATGTTTAGGCTTTCAATTACTACATTATTTACTTCATCAATAAGCACGATACAAAATATAGTTCAATATTAAATTTCCTACAATATTTTAGTCTTCAAGACATAGGCACCGAGGCCAACGAGGATTACCAATGAAGAGAAAAGAGTAGAGAGAATAGAGAATAGAGAAGGAGGAGAAAGAAAACAAGAATTAGGGATTGGAATCAGGGCAAAAAAGAAAGGGGAAGGGAATTTTGACTAAAAACACACTTTTAGCAATGGATTACTGAGGATTTTTTGTTGGTAATTCAAAATATTTTTTTTTTTACTTTTAACGATAAATTACTAATAAAATCCATCGTTAAAAAAATTTTCCTTTAAAAAAATTAAAAAAATTTATTGAAATTCCTTTTAGTGATGAATTTTTTCTGTTAATAATTTATCGTTAAAACTTTTAGCCACAGATTATAAACAAAATTTTTTTGATCGGTAAATTCCATTGGAAAAAATTATTTTTTTTGTATTTTCATTGGCAAACCATCGTAAATTAGTAAGTAATTAATAATGAAAAATTTTGTCATTAAAAATCCATCGGTATTAGACTTATTTTTGGTAGTGTGTGACCTATGCAATACACATGATAGTTTTGTCTACTTAAATCTTTGTAAACACATAAAAATTAGTATTTTATGCGCACTTATGTAACTTTTAAATTTTATACCATACTTAAAATTCAAATATTGAAATGACATATCATAAAAAATAAACTTATTTAAAAAATAGATGGTAAATAATATTAAAATCATAAAATAAAAAATACAAATGATAAAAAAATAGAAATTTGCATTTGTACCTTTATGTTATATCATTAATAAAGATAAGTTATATTTATTTTAAAAAGTATGAAATTATTATTACGTAGGTTTTTGATAAAATGAATTTTTGAGATTTTATTTATTTCCAATTAAATAAAATTAAACTTTAATTTTGAATTAAATAAAAAAATTCCATTGCTAGTAACTTGAGTTACAATCAATAGTGATAATATCTATAATACTTCTTTACGCATTTTGCATTATGAATTGCATTAATTCAAACCCTACTGAGCTTAATTGGCTTCTTACCTAACATGTTGCCTATCATTAACCAGTTTGTTAAAACTAGCTAGATCAAGTTTATTATGCCTAGTACATCTTTTTCATAAACTACGTAAAGTGAATGTAAACCTCACGCCCTTAACAAATTTAAGAGCTTTTACAACAATAAAAGCCCATGTTGTAATAGAATATGTGATCATTCCTTTAACTTAAGATTAAAAAGCACTAATAACCATCTCATCCCTATTTCAAGCAACTCTATACCACCAATTGCATTTGCCATATAAATAGTTTCATCAAAATTAACTTTAATAAAATTTAACTGTTAACTATTTCACTAAATAAAAAACTTTAATCAAGATTAAATCAAATTAAAATAAAGAGGAAAACAAAAGAAAAGGCAACATGGATAGAAAATTTTTAAATTTTATTAGCATTTGTTGATTTGTTACAAATGTTACCACTAAAATAAAACAAAAGTAAGTGAAAGTAATAGTACAACTTACAATTGACTTTCTTTTATACTACACTTCACTAGTCTTTATGACTTAATGGAATTGAAAATGAAGCAAGATGATTTGATTAAGCACTTAAAGGTTCCATTGACTTTAACTTGTAAAAGAGCTTTCACATGAAAGTCAAATTTTCAAATGTTTGTAGCTTGTATATTTTTATAGGTTTGTAGCTTTTTATCTCTCTTGCTTGAGCTAAAGTTAGCCAATTGCTTCTTCAGAATCTTTCATCTTTTTCTATGGTTGAAGCTCTAAAATCCTTCTTTTTAGAAATGTTTCCCTTTTTTTTTTTTAGCTTTCTTAATTTATAAAAAAGTCCTAAGAGTTTGATTTTTCTTATATGTTAATGATTTGAATTTTAAAATCTTTAACCAAATCATATCACATTATACTGATTTAACAAATATTTATTATTTTCAATTTAGTTTAATTAGATTAACTGAATTAAATTTATTTAAACAGCTTTCAAAGGTTTATTTAATCTAAAGTTATTTATAATCCATATATAAGAAATAATATTATCATACGTAAATTTTAAGAGAATATTTAATAAGAAAACATTTGAGTCAAAAAGAGAATTGGTGTTTTTGCTAATTTTGAATTAAGAATGATAAATTTGATTTTTTTTTTTATTTTTAACTATAAATCAATTCAAAACATAAATAATTAATTACATATGATTCGGTCTTTACTTAAATTTTAAAAGATTTAAATAATTAAATAATCATTTTAATTTTAATTTGATAAATAGAATAAAAGATCTTTACTTAAAGTTTGAAAGATTTCGATAATTAAATAATTTTTTTAATTTATTTATTTGATAAATACCATAAAATTAGAAACCATTTTATGTATTA